CGCCGCTCTTGTTGATGAAGCCGCAGTATTCGGAGGTGAAATAGAGAGACTCGGTGGCGGCGTCGCAGAGGCTGCAGTTGTCCAAGCAGCCAGGTGAGCATTTCCGCTCGGGGTGCGGCACTCGCCAGCTCTCGCCCAGGTCCGGGACGGACGTGGCCAGCCTCCCGTCCGAGCGGAGGGTGTCGTCCTCGGGGTCCTTATTGTAATTCCCGCACAGACCGCACGTGGTGTTGATGTACGTGCCCGGCACCGAGATGGAGGCGTAGTGTTGTCCGTCGTAGGTCACCAGCAGGCCAAAGTCGGTCTCCACAGCTGTGGACAAGCCGCTCTGGTAGACTTTTATTGCGCCCAGTTCCAGAGAGATGGGTAGAGACACCATCAAGTCATCCACCTGCAGGAACGACACCAGACAACTGAGCCGGCGCTTGAAATAGCAGAGCCCTCATACCGCAATACAGACAGGAGCCGTACTGCCCCGCTATGGGGTGTTAAGGCTTCGGGACGCGCACAGAGGGACAGCTCCCCTTTCAGCAGGTCGCTTACCTTCGCTTTCCCAAAGCTGCCCTTGGGGAGGACGATCTTGTGCGAGTAGACCTCCACAAAAACATCCCTCAGCCAGGAGACGGAGGAGCCGCCTCGGTTCTCGTTCTTGGCCTCCACGTTGAAGTAGGGCAGCTGGGAGCCTGGCCAGCACTGCCTGGCGAGGAGGTAGGAGCAGGAACCCTGGAAGTGAAAGAGGAAGCCATCGAAGGTGTGGTAATGTGGATCTCCGAACACCACGCAGGTGCTGCTCTCCACCGGCACGCACTGGAAGAACTTGGTCTTTGGCTCGCATGCTTCAAAGGGGCCGCAAGCCATCTCCTGGCAGAAAATCTCGTTGTTGAAGTCCAGGCAGCGGCACTTGGTGGTGCAGTTGGCGTTGTCCCAGAAGATCTCCCCTTGACGGAGAAACTGTCCTAGAAAGACAAAAAGGGAAAACCCACGCTACATCACTTCTCTTAACAGAGGAAGACGCTCTAGCTGCGCCACGTCAGTCCTCGGAGGGGTCTGCCCGCCCTACAATCGAGACCGCCGCCAAAACATCCTGCTGCTGGGCTTCTCGGACGGTTTCTTTGTGCAGACTCCCGGCAGGAGCCGCCCATCAAAGCGCTGGAATCGCAAGCTTCCTTTTCGGTGTACGGTGCGTCACCTTCAAGTCCTACCCACACCGCAAGTCCACCGGATGGTGCGAGCGCCGTCGCGAATCCGGAGTCGGTGCCATGCCATGCAGGCTGGCTAACGTGAAGGCTATTCCTTCCGTTTTGGACACCCACCACCCTCGTTCCGCTTCAGCATCGCGGGACACGAGAGCCATTCCTGCGATTTTCCCACAGGGAAGGTCCACTGGAAAAGCTCGCTCCTTTGGGAGACCATTTCTAGTGCTGTCACTGCACTTGCGCCATCCCTCAGCTTTGTCACCGTCTCCACAATCCCTTTGTTGGCATAACTTTGCCGGTCAAAGAGCAACCCAGAGGCAATTCACTCCCATTCAGAAAGCGCTCATAGTAGTTATGAAACCAAAGAGCTGTTGATAAGTGACTTCCACACCATACACCAGCGGCAACGGGCAACGATGAGTGATCGCACAGCAATAGACTGCACAGACTTGTTACACGGCGGTACTATAAAGGGAGGCAGGTTTGTCTGGTGAGAGACGTGAGAGGCAGAGAGAAGACGAGAGAACAAGGGTGGCAAATACCCGTGAGAGTTTCCCTCTCCTCCATATGGCCGTCTTTCACACTTCTTATGCGCGTGGCTTCCGCCGTGCGCGCAGCCCGAATTTACCTCTCCTAAACTTTTTGTTCTCTTCCCTGCCTCCTACCACAAAAAAGCGATTTTCCGCTTCCCTGCAACAAACCACATCTCCTCTTAGGGAGGCCCGCTCGCCAAGGCACCCGTGCCAACCGTCCCATACGCTGCATCTCCTCTCATGGGGGGTGACCGACTGTCCACCGTAAAATGCAAATCAGGCAGTGGTATCTACCCACGCTGCCCTCGTTATCTGCAAAGCCGAGACTGGCTTTCAGCCCATCGGCAAAGCCCGGCCTTTCCTCCTGGGGTCAGCAGCTGGAAGCGGCTGGAGCAGCTGCACCAAAACCTCTGCTGGGGCTGTGAGAGCCTCGGGGTCTCACGGTCCTTGTTCGCTGCAGTCCGGAACCAGGACATAAAGAAGCCACATGTCTCCGAGTGGTGACATCTCCAGCGTCCGTCGGCAAGTGACAATTCTCTCTTGCTAGGAGCGCAGCGGATGCTCCTGACAGTTTTATTTGTCAAATGGTAGTACAATAATCTCTCTGCAGCAGAGTCTCTGTGCAGTCGCTGTGTGCATTTATTAATCCTTTCATATCCTCACGCTGGCAGTGACACATGCACAGACGCTGTAAGTGGTGCAGGGGCATGGCATTTGTCCCGCCTGGAAAACCTGCTATTCCTCCTGCAGAAACAAGGGAAATGGAACCCCACCATCCGCTTTCCCCCTCCGGGGGCAAGAGGAAATTGCCGTCCGCAGGTCTTCCCATTACCACCATCGGCGTCACAGAAAAGCATCAGGATGATGGCTCAGTGGCATTCAATTCCTATGACACACCCGAGCCCCATCCACCCTTGACTTTGGGTTAGGGTGCTGCTTCTGGGCCACAGGAATAGAGGCTTACAGCAACACCGTGCTACTAAAATCCCAGGACGGACAAAAACCTAGGACAGATGACAATTTTACTCGCTGGTGGTTGAAAGCAACGCTGAGAGCTGAGAAGGCACCTGACTGTTTATGGGCCCCTCTCAGTTTTCTCGGAGCTGCCAAGACAGCACTCGTCCGCACGGACAATTTACTGCAATTACTCCTCGTGAGACGGGTCCGGCCATCCGTGAGCGTGCCAAAATCCCCCTGGGAGAGGCAACACCAGCCGGGACCCGGGGCAAACAACGGCTGATGATGGCTTCTTCGCATACGCTGCCAAGCACGCTCTCCAGCTAAACTAGACGTGCCAAACCTCTCTGTCCACTCTTCAAGGCGTTGGCTTTTTGCAACGGGCAGACTGACAATTATCGCTGGAAGTCGGGTGATGACTTTGAGCGCAAAGCGCGTGCAGCGACTCACAGACGCACAAAGGACCCGAACCCCGCTCGCGTGTGTCTGTCCCCGCAGCTGCAGTTTGAGGGGTTGCCTTGGCAAAACCACAAATCGCACAGCAGCCCAGAGCGGTCAGGCACCTCTCCACCGCCTTCCCAACAGCATAACCCTTTGCTGCCGCTGCACCCCAAGACTTGACGTACAGCAATGCCGCTTCCCCCTTACCTCTCAGGCTGCAGCCATTGGCCGGATCTATCTCTCTGCCATCTATTTTGAAAGCCCAGCGCCCGGGGACGTTAACGTTGGTCGTTTCTTCGATATTGACTATGTCCGGGGTTCTGGAGCCCGGGATGCTGAAGAAGTTGGTGATATTTCCACCATTGAAGCCAGCCTAGAACAGAGAGCGAGCAAATTTCGTCACACTTCTTTGCTATGGGAAAGCAATGCCGCATTTCCGCACGTCTCTCCCCCCCGCCCTCCCCCCCAATAACTCCCGAGCTTATCTTTAGTTTTAAAGTCTCTTTTCAGGGATTTCAGGTACTACAAGCAGTATGGATGTATATTTATGCATTTATGTACATATATATACACGCATATGTCTGTATGTACATACAGATCTATGGGTGTACGTATTGAGTGGCTGAGATAGAGTGACAAAGCGAGGCTCCCCTTAGGCAGGGAACCTCACCCCCCGCCCCGGGCAGATGGACTGGCTGCGACACCACTGCTGACACCAAATTTTGGGGTGCTCAGCCCTCTGTGCCCGGCAGTGGGCTTGCAAGACCGGTGCCGGGGACCTTGAGGGACTGCATGGCATGAACAAGCTACAGGCACCCATCTGAGAGCTCCACAGAGAAGGGAGTACGGGAGCGAGAGCCTCACCTGGGCCATCACCCCGCCGAGACCCGTCAGGGGGTCCCCTCCGCTGGCTGTCCCCGTGGTCCAGCTGATTTCGTGGTAGTTAAATAGGGCAAAAGATGACACTCCGTCTGTGATCAAGACCGCTTGGAAAGTGTTTACCTGTTGAAAACCATAAGCACGTTCACAAGGCGCGACTGCTTGCCTGCCCTTCTGCCACAGTCACCCTGCCAGCTCCCACCCGCCACCTCCACCGGGGAGGACAAGACCGCCTCCGATCCAAGTGAACGCCAATAGATGGCAGCATGAGAATAAGCTCGCGGGGAAAAAAGCAATCGGCAGCATTCGGGTTGTTATGACCTGTTATCTTCCATTACCCTATCTTAGCTTTATTCCTCGCCGCATTATCTTACCCGCTTCCCTTCTGCATTCATATGCTACAATACTGTTAACGGTGGATTACATCCAAGTCAGCCATGTATATCACGCACTCTGCTCGGCTGCCAAATCCCCTCGCTACCTGCTCAACCCGCTACTCGCCTTCTTCCTTTCACTTGAAATGACTCTGCATTTCCAGTCCCCCAAACTCCAGATACACTCACGCCACCGCCAGCCCGGGCCCCACGCAAGAAGGGCGTGCTTCGCCAGCCGGCGAGGGCGGCGTGGCCCCCAGCTCTTCCCTTTTGTGCTTGCACAGGACAGAAAAGGCCTCTTCCCTTGAGATATGCCCTCTGTCCGTGCAGATCCAGCGGCAGAGAACTTCGTTGGGAACTAACAAGTCATGCGTTTCTCTCCGCTGTCTGCATTTTCCTCTCCTTCCCATCCTTGCCCGTCCTAGACCGCTCTGCGCCGGGACCGTGCCGTGATAAACGCCTGCTCCTCCTGCCTCTGAGCGAGCGGGATATCCGTGGAGGACAACGCTTGGGCTGCTCCTCCTTTAATTATTCCAGACCACTACTAGGAGCCCAGCTGCCTGGGTGCTGCACACCATGAAGGAAACTACAGCCACAGAAACAATAACCCGGTGATATGGGAATGCACATCGATCGAATCGTCTCACGCTAGGAAGCGCTAGGTCCTTCCCTGCCAGCGAGGGCTGAGCTGCTCCACGTTACCGACAGTTCGCATCTGCTGCTGGACAAAGGGAAGACTCCAGAGCCCCGAGGGGCTGGGGGTCACTTTGCGCCACTTCGCATTCCCTCACAGCAAAGCCGCTAGTTAGATTATTGGCACTGAGGTGAGCACAAATGCCTGAAGACTAAGGGGACCCCAGGGCGGCACTCACTACTTGCATGCCACGAGGGAAGTCACTCCCAAGGCGCGTTAGGCTCCTGCCACGAGACATCTTGCAAATGGAGGCGAAGCAGCCTGTGCGAGCTGTCAGGGAGAGCGAGAGGTGTGGGCAGAGCTGCTTCACGGCAGCTGCAAATGGCACAGTTCACACCGGGGCAAGCGGGAGAGCAGGCTGACGGGAAGCCACCGGTTCCGCTCCCGCATCCTTTCCTTGGGATTTTGCCTCCGGCGTCTGGTTTCCTCCTCACCTCCTCGGCACGCTTGCTCACCTCTGCCAAGTCTTTTCCCACCACTCGAACATCAGAAGGCACTAACACATAAGGGCAGTGTTGCTTTTTATAATGCAACGACAGCTCTTCGATGCAGCAAAAAACCCGCTCCGGTCAGGTATACCTCTTGGCGAGTGGCGGGAGCTGACCTGGTCCCAGGAGGTGTGGGGCGGCCGTCGCTCCTCGTTAGGAGCGCTTACATGAAGCACAGACACTTCCCCCGTTTGGCACTCGTGGCCAAACATGCATCGAGCGCCATTGCCCTCTAACAAGGCTCTGGGAAACCAACCCCGTTTGCTCGGGCGTCTTCGAGAGACAGTAACCGCAGCATCCCTGAGGCCACATTTGCACAATTGTTTTCTGCAGCTTTTCTGCATTGCGATGAATTTCCTGCTTAAGTTGCATCGTGCTATTCCATGTGCCAAGCCGGAGCCCTGGCCGCTACTGAGCAGGAAGGCTGCTCTATAACAAAATAAATTGCATTGTGTTGCAAATGTAATTCTTCAGGCAATACACGAATCTCTATATTGCTTGCTGTCTGCAAATATATATATATATATATGTATTTTTTCACTGCAAGCGCTGCCAGGACTGGCAAAAAATATGCATTAAATCTCGAGCCTCTCTAACAAATGGAAACGAGCTGAACTGTTTATCAGAGCCAACTCCTCGAGACAGAAGAAGCCAGCTTTTGGCACTCACAGTACACAGGCTAATCCTAAACAACCCTTTCCCCAAACAATAGCAGGGATCCCTCGCTCGCTACCTGCGCCCCAAGCTTCCACGCGGACCCTACCAGCAACGTGCCAGCGGTACCGCACAGACCTCCTGATGTCAGCTGCGGTCGCAGCTCGCCCATTAACCAGGTATTTCAAAGCCATTCATGCCCTAAACAACACCACACCACCATACTCATCCTCTGACATCCAACTCGCACATTTCTGGAAATATAACCGAGCTACCACTGCTGAGACTCTGGTCACTCTGGATCAGTCTCCCCATGCAGACAGGGCAGTTGTTGTTGCAAAAATGCTGTCGGTATTCCCTTTGGCTTTCTCCTTCCTATCTCCGTGTCCGCACAGGATTTCAGAGTGGCCGTTCAACCCTCTTCTACAAGATGCCCTCGCTGCCCTCTCGGAGCAGCGCTGCAGAGAGAGCATTTCAGCATCCGCCACAGAAAAAGCCATCACAATTTGAAAGCAAAAGAGTTTTTTGCCAAATAAATACAAATTACAGCTCCCATTTTCTCATTCCTGTCTCCAGCTCCTCGGAGAGTGGATTACTTCCAAAACTTAATTTACCGCAGACTCCTGAGCTAGACACTTTTCTGCCAGAGCAGCCCTCCCTCCTCGCAGAGGCAGGGAGCAAATAAGGACATTTCAAAGCTGCCGTGGCCTTGCAAGGCAAGCTCAGGGTGCAAAACCAAGCAGACTTGCACTGCACCCCGGGCAGACGTGAGCAGTGGGGAGCTGAGGGTGAGTTACAACATTCGGCCTGAAGAGGACGACGGCGGAGAGGAAGGGAGCGCACAGCAGAAGATTAGGGCTGCCCAGCCAGAAAACGAAGGACTTCCTATCCAGCTCCACCGCTCGTTCTTTCTGTTACCCTGCTAAGTGTGGGACCAGTTTATCCCGGACCCCTGGAGTGGACAGACCCAATCCAGCACGGTCAGCGGGGGGCTGCCCTCCAGTCCCACTTCAGGACGGGATGCAAGCACACCCGGGCTTATTCTCTGCTCCGTCCCTGGGCACCACGCGGCAGTCTTGGGAGCAGCCTGCTCTACGCGCACGCCCCGAGCACACGCACCTCGGCGTGCTCAGACGCCGCGCACCCAGCGAGGCTGCTTTCGGCACCGCCCCGGCTGCTGTTTGCTGCTTCTGGGTCTCACCCAACAGCCTGGCCCCATGACTGCCATGATACCGTGATTGATTCACACTGAATCATTCCTTATCAGCTGGCGGGGCAGGAGCAAGTGGGAACCTCAAGCGGTTTATATCGTGACAGAGCTACTGCTCAATGCCAAAACTTTGGCTCCATTATAAAGGCCTTTCTTCTGAGGTGCCCGTAGCCCCTGCACAAATAGCCCTGTTTTATCACGGCAGAAGCACGAGGAAGTGAAGGTCGCGTATCGCAGCACGGAGGAAAAATGAAATCTGCATTTGTATCTGGCAACACATAACCACGCTGCGATCAAGGCGCGCTGCCTGCAAACACCCAAGAGGCGATGCTTTCCCTGGAGATCTGAGAGCAGGGAGCGAGGCTCGTACGGGCTGCCGCGGGAGAGAACGAAAGGACCGTGGTGCTCCTCTGCCCCAAAGGGAACTGAGGAGCGGGAGCACAAAGCCGCTCACTCAGTTTTACACACAACAGCCAGGACAGCATGCACAGACAGACATACACTCAGCCACCAACCACCACCCGTCCAGAAGCACAGCCGATCACTCTTACCGGAGTCGTGCTGCTTCCTCCGTAGAAAGTGACTTCCTCCCAGGTGACAATGAAGATCCAGACGGCGGAGAAAGAGGACATGTCTTTGAAGTGCTTGCGGATGTCTTTGGAGGCTCTCCTCAGCAGCTCGGGGTCCGTGCTCTCCCTGTAGTAGATTTCTCCCCGGATGCCGTTGTGCACGTCCGCCCAGAACGGCGCGACGAAGGCCCGGCCGTCCGTCAGGGGGAAGGCTTCTGGTGTGAACTGGCTGACGAGCGCATTGAAGGAAATCACACCGTTGTTGTTCACCTGCAGAGAGACCCGCTTTTGTTTGAGCGAGCCTTCGCAGGTAGCAGAAAGCTGCTGGTTTATCAGAAAACGTGGGATGAGTGACTTTTGACAGAAGGTGGCTTATAATACCGACAGCCTGAGATTCTAATACTGACATACAGAGGGTCACCTTCATCCTACCAGTGGTGGCCAAAGGCTGAGTGCAGGAAGCCCCAGGCAGGACAAACCCCTGAAAAGTCTGCAAAGCAGGGCTCGTGCGGGCCAGCGCAGGAGAAGCACCCATCAGAGCGGGACGGCACCCGGCCCAGCAGGGACCCTGCCTCGGGGCCCCGGATTTAGCCAGCCTTTGGAGAGCAGCTCTGCAGCACTGAGACACCCGGTCATAGGGCACAGGTGGCCGCAGGACACAAGGGCTCCCGGGAAAAGGAGCCAGAGCGTCGGGCCCGCTGCTGTCAGCTTTGTCCTCTACAACCGATCCTGGGGCTCCCCAAGAGCAGGGAGACACGCGGTGCCACGGGCGGCCTCCCCAGAGTCTGCTGAAGACGCTCTCCAAAACAACCATTATTTCTGCAAAGCGCGGAGAACAAGCGGCCCCGCTGTCCCAAATGCTGCAATCTCCCACCACACAAGGCTTCGAAACCCCCGTGGGATTAGTGCTTTCCCAGTATTGCCGTGTACAGATATAAGCTGGCCAGGCAGGCAGACAAATGAGTCCTTGCCTCTCTTCTGGACCTGTGGGGCTGGCAGGTTTACATCCCGCTTTGGACCGGACACACCCACAGACACTGCCTTGCCACAAAACGTGGACGTGCTTGGGATGTGGCCTACGGTCACGCTGACTTCGGCCCCCGTCTAAGGCAGTGTTTGGATGTGCTCAGGTGAACTCTCTCTCAGCCCAGCCCGGAGGAGCGGGTGTCACCTTTGCCAGGCTTTCGCTGAGCTGCTCTCGGAGAGCGACAGCAGCCTGTCCTCGTCTCGGGCACCCACATATGGGTCCAAACTATTGCCCTCTTTTTTTTCCCCTGCAGGTCTCTGCATGTTCTTGTTTCTTGTCATGTAACAGGAATAATGTTTCTTGTGTCAAGGCCTTAGCTTTGCTGTACCATTTAATCACCTACAAAGAAAATTTATTACCTTTTATATTCCTTCCCCATGAACATTAGCCCATTAAATATACCTTTGACTTTCTTAATCATAAAACCTATCAGTTCATGAAATCTAAGAACTTGTCAGGTAGGTGCTAATAAATCTTCTGACTCCTGACGATGGGGAGAGTGCGTTTAAAATGCAGCTGCTAATGGCAAGGAAAAGAATAAAGGCAAGGACCGCTCTGCTTCTCCACTTACATAAACGCTTCTGTACGGGGCTCCAAAAAAGATGAATGGGACAGAGATCTTAATCTCGGGAGAGCTTCCATCATCAACTTTGGGCGTTTTCGTGTCGTTCTGCCAGAATGGATACAGGCTCGCCATGGCGTGAGCTGGAAGGAAAGGAAGAGAGTCCTTATGGCAATGTCAGGACCGGTCCTGACTTCAGAGAGGCCACGGCAGGGGCCCTCGGGGTGGCCTATCCCCAAACGCTGACCTCCTGTGAAGAACTAAATGGCTGCCTTGCCCTCCCCTCCTTCCCCCGCTGCGGACACGCCGGGGATGCCGAAGGGCTGCTGGCCACCAGCCTGCGCCTAAGCCGGGCAGAGCTCCGGGGCGGCGATGAAACTCTACGCTCTGCACTTGAGGAGGCAGTCTAACGGCGACTGGTCAAACCTGCACTTGGCCACGATGCCGTATTCTGCATCGCAGCTGCCGATGAAAACAGCACCAAAGCCCAGCAGCGGCAGCAGCCTGAAGCAGTCTCAAGTCAGAGCAGAGGTGCTAGCTCTGGCACTGGCTCCGGGACAGGGTCATTGGGGAGAGCATCATTCAAAGGGACCACTAGACATGTGTCTAGCTTGCAGCTGCCCATTTTACTTTCCATATGACTGTGATCAAGTCATAACGCCAATATCTCGGCAACAAGGACAACAGCTCCATCCCCTCCCGTTCCAGGCTGGGGGGGTTGCTGTTTCAGACAGTGAGGTGCTCAGGTGCCCGGGGACCAAACGGCACCCGAACCGACCCCCACAGCCACACTCCTGGCAGCGGCTGCTCTCCTCCTGCCTGCATGGCAGAGCCCTGCCGGGCACCAGGGCCAGCCCGCCCCACCAGACCCCCGAGTGCTCCTGGCTCTGGGTTACAGCGCGAGGCGTCACAACTGCACCGACATTTCCCGGCAATATTAGTTTTCCCGCTACAAGGCCCTGCCAGTGAACGTCATTGTCTCTCCTGAAAATATTTCAGAAGGCAGTTTTGACGTGTTTTAAAACAAGCCTGCCACTTCCTACCAGACTAAACTCCATCGGCTTGAGTCGCAAGCGGGCACTTCTGCCCCGAGGGCACACGTCCTTTCCCGTTCCAGCTCCCGCCAGAAGTCTGCTGTCTTCTCATCCCCTGTTTCTTGCAGTTAGCTACTGGTGTGGCTCCTCACAGACCAAATAGGGATTTTGCTGGGTATTTTTCCCCCTCCTCCCCTCTTTGACGTAGAGAAGCGGCGCCCTGTCCTCACGACATTCAATCTCAGCCGACATGAGCCACCGGGCTCTGAACAATCCCAGCTCTGTTCACCTGGGTTCGGGACATGCTTTTATTTCCCAGCCCCTACCCTGAGCTGTTCAGGGGCCTCCAGCTGAGGACAGCCTGCTCTGTGCCCCGCCGTTACGGACGCAGGAGGGAGTGTTGGCGTTGCCCCAGCTGGGGGATGCTCTCTCCTAGCATCTCCTGACTGCTTCAGGACGCTCTCTGCTCAGAACCACCTGGGAGTGCGGACAGTCACCATCTGACCCTTCTTCACAGGCTCAACCGATCTGACTTTCTCTGGGGAAAAGGAGACCGGGGAAGCCTGGCCTAACCCCATGGGCATCCCGACCTCCTAAGTGACATGCACGTGGCCCAGGCGCCCCGCCGGACATAAAGGGAGGTGGCTTGTGACGGTGTCTGAGCCGCGAGCCTGGTTTCACAGATATATCCGAAGGGCCGCAGCAAAAGTCCTGGCTGTCAGGTAGTAAAACAAGTCGTTTCACAGCTGTTACGCACCTGACCAGTTATCACAGCTAAGGCATAGCTATGAGACACGGATTTTACTTCTTTTTTAAATAGAAAACTCAGCAAAAACTTCTCAATGCCAGCTTCTTTAGCACTACTAGTGCGACACTACCATACCTTCGCACGCATCACCTCTGCCAGCCAAGCAGCCCAGCGGGACCGCTGATCGTGATTTCTGCCCCAGTGGCATTTCCCACGGGAGAACCGGTGCCCTCATGTCCCACATAAGGAAGGAGAGCCACAGGTTTTGCCTGAGCTGTCCTCAGCCCGACGTCAACTCAGCAGCTCACTGAGGGAAAGGGCTTCCCGGTTTCCCAGCTGCCCAGCTCTACGTTCCCTTGCTAGAGGTCCTCAAGCCAGCCGCACATCTACCCCAGCCACGCAGTGCGTATCTGCCACGTTACCGAATTACAGAGGCTTCCTCTGCCCGCACCAGCTGTGCTTGCCCTTCCTCAAATTGAAACACGGCAACGGTTAATTTCTCCCCCAGACTAGCGAGCTGCTCCTGTGCTTTTCAACATCACAGAAAGCCGCAGCTCGGAAGGGGCGCCCGGCTGCCGGCTGGTCTCACCTCCTGCCCAAAGCAGGGCCGACCCCCCACGGTCAGAGCAGGTCGCTTGTGGCCTCATCCAGCCCAGATGTGAACACCACATCTACACAAAACAAACCACCCCACGAGGAACGGGGTGCGAGCGCGGGGCGAGGCTCCCCGCGGCAGGCTGCAGCCCCGCGGCCCCGCCACAGCCACCCCCACGTCTGCTCTCGGCTGTCCTCCGCAAACACCCCAGGGGAACCTCGCTACCCGCACACCGCGGCCTTTTGCTATCGCTCACCCAATTTGCCCTTTACCGGACACAGGCCATCAGCCTGCTCAGCAGTCCTCACGCCAGAAATGTTCCAAGCTCCTATTTCTTAGTGACCGGCGGGACCACCGCAACCTCTGCAACGCCCCGTGTGCACACACGGCCGTACGGATGGTACATGCACACGTACATAAAACGCTCACCGAGCTCAACGACTTCTGTGCCCTGTATGCCCCGCCGGCTTCGCCAGCTTCACACTCAGCACGGCGTGCCAGCTCCTCATTCCATGTAAACTATCGTCGCTTCATTGCTCTCAGTGAAGCGAGGGCCATGTGCGCAGGCTGCCGATCCGTCTCCGGCGACGCAAGCTGTCTCTCGTGCAACACTAACACCTGGGCTTACCCACGAAGGCGCCCCAATCTTCCCGCTTAGCGCTCACCCTTGAAACCAGTGGTCCGTCCCTCCCCACAGGAAATAAGAAGTCCAACCCTGGTTGCTGTCCTTGCTCCAGCCAAGGGGCTGGGGGTGTTTCCCAGGCCCTCCGTACTTCTGGGGTCTCCGGGCACAGCACAGCTGACGAGTGTCGGCCTCCCAGCGCCCGAGAGGGAGGTACTCACCTCGCTGCCGCGCAGTGATCACCAGAAGGGCCACCCAGGTTCCAACAAACAATCGCTTGTTCATCCTACAGGAAAGAAACAAACCCGGACACACATCACATTGGTAGGAAACCGCATCCTCGAGCAAACCTCGCCGTCGCGTCCCAAAGCCGCTGCTGACATGCGGATGATTCAGAGATGGAGGTCCCTCTGTTGCCCGGCAGACCCGAAACACCTGCTCCGTGTCCACTGCAAATCGCCCTGCAGGTACTGTCAAAGTAAGCCCATACCCACGTGGAAGAGCTGCTGCTAATTTCACACAGCGTTTGGGAGCTGTAAATCGCCCCTGCTAACCGTGGGCCATCTATTCTCCCACTAGTTCGAAAGCAATTCCTCCCCGATCCGCTTAACGCGGGGCAGACGCTTCTGCCTGACTCCACGGGGAACGGCTTCTCCCTGCTCCAAACGCAGAGCTGCGGCGTGCTCTCCTGGTTCAGGGGCCTCAGACACCGCTTCGACTAATCCTTCGCACTGGCTGCTAACACAATCACTTACGGTTTCTGACGAGCGCAGAAGAAGCACAAACATTTACACAGCTGGGCAACTCCTTGCTGCACAGGAATCAATGGGAGAGAGAGAGAGGCAGATACGGGGCTGGGAAAATGAAAGGGAAATCCTGTGCCAGCTTTAATTCCTTCTGTGCCTAATGCAATTTGTTACTCAGTATTAATCCAATAGACAATATCGCTAAAACACCTGCTTTGATTTCTTCGCCCGTCGCTTCCATGCATTAGACACCGGCACGGCTCACGTAGAGCTCCCAGGAAGGTATCTCCTGTGCTCCCAGCGTGCCTGCGCCTACCGGAAAAGTACACGACCGGCTTCAGACACAAACTATATCTATCCATCACTTATAGGCTCAGCTTCACTACCAGCCTCTCTGCTTTCTCAGCCTCATACATCCCATGCGCTTCAGATGCGTGCACACAGCTCCTACAAAACCCAGCGTCTCCTCATGCTCTCCCTAGACATCTGTTTCTATAATGTACAGGGACCAACAGATCCACTTCCTCCAAAATATATCCACACACATACAAAACGCATACAGCGCAGGACTACAGCAGGGAACAGGCCACCCTCTGTCCCACACCGCTCGGAAAAGCGCAAAACAGGGCGGAAGGAAAGTTCCTCCCTGCTTCACTGCTCCTCAGCGTGCCGCTCGCATCGATGCTGGCCGCGGTCTGCTTCCAGCAACCGTGTTCTGCATTGAGAAAAATTAATTCCACCGACAAACACTTTTACTGCATCCCCTATCTTGGAAAGACGAAAAGAGGATGACAGAATTGTAAATAGGTGGTAAATCTGAGTCCCTGTGGATTCGTTTGCAGAGACCAAGCAGGCAATGCTTAGCGGAGACTATGGCAGACCGAGAAGAAGGGTGAGACCAGCGCCGCTTGGGAAACATGACAGACGATAAAGAATACATTACTTAACGTATCACATTAAAAAATCGAATTTTTGAGATATGGAAAGAAAATTACCAACCTGTTCTGTAGACCAGAGGAGCTATCAGGTCTGAAATTTTAGACTGATCTTGGTAGACCAGGGAGAAGTCCTATGTCAATGGAGAATACATGCCGGTCCTCCTTTGCCAATTATTGCTGATGACTGCAACGATGCCTCAGTCCCCGTGCTCTGGCAATTGAAAAGCCCGTTTTCTTCAATGCTGTTCCAGGGCCGGAGGAGTGTTGAGTTGCAATCGCAACTGTTGCCTCTATTGATAACCAGCAAGCTAATCTGGAGATCAGATTCTGGCCCAGAGAGGGAGAGAAGCCTCTTTCTTCCCCAAAAGCTCACCCCCTTCAGGTGGATTCAGATGGAAATGTCAGCGAGCCGGAGCTGGGCTCGCGGCTGTGCTGCCCAGCATCGCTTTTCGCTGAAGGGGAAAAAAAGAACAAACAAACACACCCTCAGAAGAACTGAGCCCCCTCCTCCTTTGTGTAAGTGAAAAAAGGCCCCATCTATATAATGTTACAGGATTAGCATTAAACAGCCCTAGGCTTAAAGCACCGCTCAAAGGCAGTGCCCCAAAGTTTCCATGGAGTTACCTTTCCATCCAAGTCTTCTGTAACGCAACTTACTGCTGCTTTTACAGGTGGAATGGGAACAACTTACCCAGTGCAGCGTGCTCTCTCCAAATCCCCTGGAGAGGGTTTTGGTGCTGTTCCCGTTCCCACCCCCTCTGGAAGGGCTGACCAGCATTTTCACTCAAGCCGGTGGGGAGTTTCACCGGGGGACTGCTGTGAACCTCACTGCTGTTTCCGCTTGTACGATCTGCAGTTTCCACAGGGATTTTCCCTGTCTCTGGGCCGCATGGCACATCCGCAGCGCCCACCAGCAGTTCACTGCTGAAGTCCTCTCTCGGCACGATCCGCCTTCTCTTGCAGGCACCCACAGCACAGCCTTTTCTCTGACTCCGTCTCCCCTGTGACGGCCTGTCTCTGCAAGTCCAGGGGTTTTGCTAGATACGCAACTACGCTGACGGACAAAACTGTGGCCCCCTGAGCTGAGCAACTACCAGGGATGCTTATTGTTCCTGGGTGCTCGGGGCGGCCGCTGCTTGGTGAGCGTTTCCACTCGTGCTGATCAGCTCTCGCACACCCTCGCAGGACCGCCGCTGGCCCCAGAGAGCAGTGCCTGCCGACGCTTTGCAGGCTGTAAGCCTCAAGCTGCGTTACAGAGACCAAAGCTCTTTGTCCGAGCCCGATCTGTAGCCCGAGAGAAGATCCCTGCTTTAATTTCATTCCTGTCAATGCCAGATGAGAGAGGGAGAAAGAGGCAGAATAGCAGCCGAGGGGTGAAGGGTGCAATCGGCAGAACCCCCATCGAGAGCGGACTTTCTCCGCCTGCATTAAGGCTCAGTTAAGACAGGCGGTGCTCCAGCCCCAGCAGTCCGTTGTGGGAAAACAGTCACGTTCTCAGGGACATAACCCCACGGCCCAACCTTGGCAGAAGAAGGATTTTCCCTTCTGACATTTTGGGTGGGGCGTTTTACTACCCGTTTCCCTGCTGGGAAGTAGGTATCGCCCCTGCGCTCCGCACACAGCCGCTCCCCACCTTCGTCAGGAACGGAGAGGGGACAGGAACGCCAGCAGCCGAACAGGAAGCACCTTAGAGCCCGGACTTTTTTTCCAGGGCCCCGGGTGCTCCTACAAGCGTGTTTAGTAAGTTCACCCCCAAAGTGCCGTATCTTACCTCAGCAGTTTCTTTTAGTACATCAGGGCAGCAGGCCCTACACCGCCTCCGCAGCAAATCCCGGCGTCTGCTGTCTCTTGATCCTCCAAGCATGGCCCTGCTAGCATGAAGCTTGCTTTTTTTTTTTTTTGTCTTACATTTATTTTTTCCCCTTTCTAAACCAAGAACTACTTTAGGAGGGCAGGAGGATTACACAGAAGTGACTGACATTCCAGGGGCAGATTACTTCCAGCCTGCCACTCCATGCACTGTGGCTCTTCCTTTCCCTCCCCTACAAATTTCAAACATTACCAGCCCCAGGAACATCAATTGACTGTTCTCATCCTGTTTCATAAGATGGAGAAAATGGGTGAAAACAGGTTTCCCTCTGCTCCTTTGTCCATTTAATATTCTGGTCCTGTTCGTCCTGGGCAAGTCTACACTGATGAAGTTTGATTAGGTTGCACTGTCTCTTTGGGGAAGACTGTGTCTTCTAGGCTATTTTCTTTTGGCAGGGGATGCTCCCATCATGCAGTGCTGAGCACATCAGAGCTGAAAATCCAACCGACCACTTTTTCTTTTTTTTTTTTTCCCCCCTCTCCTTCTAGCTGAAAACTTCTTTCCCATACCCAACCTCAGGAAACACCAAGCATTAAAAGATGAGACGGGGAGTCTGTGTCTGCTTGACCTCAGCAGAGCAACCACAGGCAGCGATGACCCTTGTCGCACGCCCATTCCAAGGCAGCGGGCCCAGCCCAGGGAAGACGCCCTGGAGAGGGGTTTGCCCAGGAGCTGCGTCCCATCCGGGGCAGCATCCCTCTTCTCCCGCCTCTCCTGAGGGTCATTCGCTGCAGGTCAGCGTGGGCTAAGGCCATGACTACAGCTTTCGCCCTCCCAAAGGTGCGTGTTAAGCGTACGGGTGAGATGGAGGGAAACGTTTTGCTTCAGGGAACACAGAAGTGCAAAACTCAGGACACTTTTTCTTTGTGTAAAAACTTACATAAGTTTATTGAACTGATCCAAACCAATTACCGATTTGGCCTGAATTCCATCGCTAAGTCTGCGAGCAAACCAAAGGCAAATTGTGGGAGCGAGAAGTATATTCCCCATGAGAGAAACCAGAATAAAAAATGAGATGGACTTACAGTTCTTCCTTTTTCTTTAACATTACACATGGATGCATCATTAATAGGGAGCAAGAACAGACCTTCATGTTTAAATTATATTTGAAGTTTCCAGTAACTGCAGAAAAGCAATCACAGAGGCAAAGGCCCGAGATGGCTAGAGCCCCTCTAACGTTGCTCTGGGGAAGGCGTCTCTCTACCGCCTACAAAAGTGCCACATTCCAACGAGGGAGGCACAGCTGCCAGCAATACATATTTTAGCCTCCGGGCTGCTTTCAGCACCTTGTTTGCATTTTCAAATCCGCACAGGAACAGAACCCACAGAATCTCATTTACAAGCACAACCGGCAAGCGGCGGAGGCAGAGCCACCGCGTCGCCTTCTTCCGATTACGGACCCGAGTAGGTGAGGGCAAACCCAGAGCCTCTCCCCAGAAGCAACGAGCACCATTAGGCACGGTTCCTCTGAGCTGCTCCAAGCCACCACGGGCCGCACTACCATCTGCCACCGGGAGGTATGTAACTCCCAATAAAGAGGGTTACAAATTCCACCGAGGGAGCAGAGGACAGTCACCACACCACACATATTCATACCATTGCCAGTTAGGTGCTCCGCCTGGAACATCTGGTCAAAACATGGATATTCAATAGGAATGTATCCAAAAACACAACAGCACAGCATCTAATCTCCATACAAGGAGCCATGCGACACTTTGGTATATAGCTGTC